TGATTTCATTTGACTTGACTTGACTTGTCCTCACACTTGACTTGACTTGTGCTCACACCAAACATGACAAAACCGCGTTTTACACGTTCTGTGTTCCACACAACACACGCGGACGAAACCACACACTCATACAAGACAGAGCACACGAGAACAAGTCAATGATCATTTCGTGCGCTCACAACAGAAGACAAAACACACGGAGCATGAATGTCCGAATCCTTACACAGAACCGAAAACCAAACTAGACATGAGTGCCGGCATCCGAACACCACGCTCCAAACAGGCATTCAGACAAGAGAGCGCGCTCAAAGACAAGAAAATACAGGAGTGTCAGGGCTCTGTCACAAAATAAAGCAATAAGCCCTGCGAAGCCGTGTTTTACAGTGAATTTAGAACAGCTAAAGCCTATAGTTCACACAACATGATTTTAAAACGTCGGGCTGAACTGTGCGGTTCACACTACATGACTTGCTCTCTTGTGAAATCAGGAGTGTTCAAGTTGTTGAGCTGTTCACACCACTCGACACAACGTGATTGATCCGCAACAGGAGGTAACGCACTACACGAGTTGACAACAACTCTGTCACCCAATGATTCTATCTTGTCTACAAACCACGTTTTGTCACGAAAAATCAAGCGATAAAACGAACCGGAAATGACGAGAAACAGCACGCGTGCCAATACCCAGCGAAGAAGACGAAGAAGAACACAACACGCAAATATGGACGTCAGACAGAAACTAGTGCTGCAAACTGTTTGCGCGATGATTTGCTCTGAGAAAAACCGCAAAAAAAGAAAAAATAAGATTTACCCGGTGACCTCAACCCATGCCTTGCTCTGATTGGCTGTAGCTCATGACATCACGTGAGGTTGAGTCGTACGACAGCTCTGGATATCTAGCATGCTAGATATTTTTCTGGGCTCAGCGACGCGTCTGCGAGGCGTCTGCGAGCGTCTTTGATGCATTGTTGGCTCTTTCATACTAACAGATTGGCGAGCGTTCATCGCCCGCTAATCCCCCGCGATTTGCACGCGATAACACCCTGATCTGTCGGCGAGCTCAACGATTTGCAAATTGGGCTTAAATCGGGCTTAAAATCATGTGGTGTGAACTAGGCTTAAGGGGGGTTGTTAGGCACGACGCGGAGCGTTTTTATAAAACGGTTACTCCATAAAAATATTCATTTTAATATTTATTTTATTAATAAAATAAACACCAGCAACAAAAAATATAACGTTAAAACACATTTATTCCTCCGCCAAACAATTTAGTTCCAAAGAGGTTGCCAAGCAACACATGCAGCAACAAAGAATCACAAACGGCAGTTGCGCAGTAATACTAATGTAATGCGGTCACAGGCGTATGTTTGTTGAGTAATTTACAACGGCTTCAAACACGGCTCAACCAATCAGAATCAACGACCGGAACTATCCATTTTATAACCAATAATAAACTAGACCAAAGTGACAGAACCCAGAAAATATGACACTTTGTGATTATTCATGTCAATAAGGAAAACTGAAACCTCTTCTCTGACCTGTCAGGGAACGGATAGATCTGCCATATGCGTGCGTCACGATTGCTCAAGTCGGGAGCTGCCTGTTCTGTTCCATTGACGTGTGAAAAAGTCACTGTAATCTGCGAAGGTGCAATACAGCACATATGTCTCCTAGGGAGAGACAGACCTCGGCCAGGGTTCACACCTCTTTTTTTTTTCTTAGGTCAGGAGGTAAAGCGCAACACAAGTGTAAATGCAATCCATCCCACTATACTCTACATGTGACGGATGACCTTGCACGTCTTTCACAATGAAGATGAAGACCGGGGCAGACGTGAGAGTGTGTGTTCAATGCTCCCTCAGTGCGTGTGTATATTTGAAGAAAGAAGCAGTCAAAGAAGCAGCAGCAGCGAGTCTGTCTTCTGGGTACACTTGAACCGCACCCTGTGCTCAAAACTAATCTTGGGTACAGATGCTGCTGAAAAGACAATAGCTCTGTAGGGTCCTCTGGAGGCCTGTCAGCATTTGGATAATCCCATACATAGTGAACAAAGTAAACTTCAAGTCTGGAGATTTAAAGTTTAAATCCCAGCAAAATCTTACTAGAGTTGTCACTCAAAATGGACATTGAGCTTTTCTGAGCACCCGTTAAACCATGCCAGATGGGCTTTTCGTGGAGAGATATGATATAAAAAGTGATATTTCAGTGTAAAAATATCACACTGAAATAAAGCGCCCTCAGCACTTAAAATGCTTAAAAGTGAATACTGTGATATATTTTGGTTTGTTTATATAATAGTAGAATTGCAAGTGAAGAAAAACTCTACTGAAAAAAGCTGTTTGATGTGTAGTAACCTTTTATGGCCATGTCAGGCCTAACAGTGCCCTTTAGCTGTGATGAAGTCATCTCACCTTTATTTCTGTACCGCTTTATACAATACAGATTGTTTAAAAGCAGCTTTACAGTGATAAACAGGAAAATAATGATGCAAAAAAATAAATAATTCCATTCTGCTGTAAAGCAGCTCTAAAAAGACAACAATATTCATTGTTCAGTGTTGATTCAGTTCAGTTCAATAAGTGTGCAAAGTTCATCAGTTTATGCGATGAGTTCAATCCATCTGTAAATCAGCTTTGGAGAAAACAGGGATGTCATCATCCAGCTCAGTTCAGTTTTCATCCAATAGTGTCAGTGCAGTCAAATCAGTAATATTGCTGAAATAGCACAACATCTCATTTGTATATTATATTGCACATTATACTGTTGAGCTAGTACCCCGAAGTAGCCTGACTTCGTCATACTCATATTCTAGTCAGAATGTGAGTCTGATACTGCTCCATAGGGCTTTGATTATGAGGCGTGTCTTAACCGAACCAGGAAAAAAAAAAACTCTGCACTCAATTGGATAGACCTACAACCAATCAGAGCAACGCAGTAAGTGTTTTTTTTTTTTATGAGCTACGCAAAGTTGTCAACACTCAACAGAACTCAACTACACGCACGCTGGAAGAAGTAGTAAAATAATGAGTGTTGCTTCTTTTACTTGGTAAACAACGACCACAGGGTTTTCATTGCGTCCCATCTTCTTAGTGACCATCGGAGCCAGCTGATAAATTAAACTTTTGCCGAATCCCGTAGGAAGGACGGCAAACACATATTTCCGATCGACAAATGCCTTGATTGCAGTTCTCTGTTCGTCTTTTAAAATGAATGCGCTGTCGATTTCTTTTACAACAGACGCAATAGCGGAATCTATACATCTCGAATCTCCAGCTGCATTCATCTTTGAGGGAAACCAGTTCAACCCAAGCGCTCTTTGATGACGTGATGATTACATAGCTAACTGCAGATCATCTGTCCATCATCGTATAAAGCCCGCCCTGTTAATTTGATTGGCCCGGCGATTTCTGAACCGATCATAATTACTCCTCAATGGATCGAGTCCAGGCCGAACTTCCCGACCAAAAAATGTTGTGGGCGGGGTTCGGGCTGGCATCCAGGCTAACCCCGAAGTATAAAATAAGAGGAAACCCGTGATAGAATCAATCAGAAAATAAAGAAAAACAGCAGAGAACATAGCATCAAGATAGCATTCAGATATCATGTTCATTATTTGCAGCAATCTTACATTAATCCGATTTCGAAGCGATCAAACAGCAGAAGTATTGCTTCACCAGCTTTGTTACAACATCATTAAAGTCACCATGAAATCAAAATGGATAATTCTTATTTTTTTAATGGAATATTGCAGTGTTTATTATAAATGATTTATATGTGCATATAAACAATTTTTTAATTCATGTGCCTTCATAATCTTTAACCAAAATAACTAACCCTTGCTTGAGAAGCCATTTCACTTGAATATACATCACATTAGGAAAGAAAAGACTATCACAACTTCTGTTTTATGCCAACTTTAACAACAGTTTTATATTTTTGAACCAACATGGTTTGAATGACGGATCTGTGAAAAAGTTACTACAGTCCAACAATGCATTGTCCTATAGTTAAGCAGAGAGTTATGCTGTTGTCTAATAACCTGCTTGGCCAGGCTGGGAAACCATTCTAACCAGTTAAACCTAAGCTTGGGCTGCTTTAAATGGGGGGTTTTAGCAGGGTTACTGCTCATAGCTGGTACTTTTTTGTTTGTTTGTTTTTTTCATTTCTGTCCCTGCTTCTCAGAGACCCTAGATGAAATTCATCTGAATGAAAGCAGCATGTGATTACTTTCAGTTTCAGAGCAAATAGTCCTGTCTCTCCTCCCAAAGCAAATATTTTCCTTGATAATTGAAGCAAGTACAATGGAATAGCAATCCTATTTTTTCCCACTAAAGAGGTTGTTTACAGGTCAAGGGAAGGGAGATTAGAGCAATTCGGGCTGGATTGGCATTATGGCGTATATTTCATTGCAGACCAATTCCCTGTTTGTCTTGAATTTGAACTGGACTTTTGGAGGGGGGGAAAACTCAAAACTTATATACGGTTTGTTTATTTTTTTCATTTCGAAATGATTAAATTATGGATTCCATTACAGAAGCATCAAAGCATTGTTCATAAACAATAGGTGTTGATTGTGTTTGCTGCAACCTTCATATAGCCTAGTAAAAGGACTAGTCAACATAAGTAACCTGCAGCGCAGCATTTAGACTTTCACCGGTAGCTTAATGCCAGAGATTTGCCAAAAGTCAGCAGTGGTGTTTTGCAATTTTGGTCACACACTGAAAAATGTGTCACACAATGATATATTTCCTGCCCCAAATCCCACCTACCCACTCTATGATTAATCATATCACTTCTGCAATATTACAGTGGGACTAACATCCCCCGTGGTGTCCTTAAAAGTAACCGCTGAGCCTCTTGCCAGCTCCCATCATAAACAATCACACACACAGCAACCTGATGATCATCTTGATGGATGCACTTTTTTTCCTGGAAAGTGTTTCCTGGCGAGGGGAGGAAAGCGACGTGTGTTCACCTCTCTTTTTCTCTGCTCCCCACAGCTCGAGTGTGTGACAACATTCTCCTGCGCTGTCAGAACGGCGGTGTGTGTCACCACCACCAGCGCTGCCAGTGTCCGGCAGGTTTCAGCGGCATACTGTGCGAGAAGGCCCAATGCCAGGGTGACTCTTGCGATGAGCTGCAATCCAGCCAGACGGCCCTCCGCCCCCCACCCGCGGCCCAGACTCTCCCGCTGGCTCTTCTATCTCTCATCCCCTCCCTGCTGGCCACCCGGGGCCTTACATCACTCTGAGGGGAACGCGTTCGCCCCAAAGACATTCCCAACAGGGGCTCTAATCCTGAGTTTCTGTCAGAGGACACACGACGGCTGAAAAGAAATGCTCCCTTGATGCGGCAGAAAAAAACAAAACTCCTTTTTAGGAAACCACAAGGTTTTCTACTCAGTATTATGTCAATTAAAGTTTGCCGGAGATGATGGATAAACTGAAGGAAAAAATCTAGAGAAACTGCAAGAGAGAGAAAAAAACAAGAACAACAGCACACAATCGCTGACACTAATGACTCTTTGTCTTTTTTGAAAATGTTAGGATGAAATCAAATACACTGTTACATTGCTCTGAAGCCATCCGTCAGATTAAGACTTCATCTCAAACCCAAGAGCACAGAGACACTGCAATACGATCTGTTTGGAGACGAATCATTGATGTGAGGATGAATCAAGATGAACTCGTAGACTGCCACCGAAATTTACGCACACGCTACCACGACTGGTTGTCAAACTTCTCACACTTTACCTTTTCCTGACCCTCTCTCTTCTTCCTGTAACTATGTGAAGTCATGTAAAACACCCCTGATGTTTGTCACACAAAAAAAAAGTATCCTGTTTATCAGAAATGATCAAATATACAGTACAGTAACATGAGAGACAACTGTTGAAATTTTGTACTGGGGTATTTTCATGACAATGAGAATTTGAACAAGAAGACCTTGTCCAACAATGTGACTTTTTGCACCGCTGTGACAACCTGTAGAATTTTGGCTGGGTCTTTTTATTATTGCCCTGATGGAGTTGCATATCCCTGTTCAGTTGCTAATCGTTTTGCTTAAAACATGCGTTTATATTCTCACCGACCGAACTGTACGGGAGGTTTCACCAAAGGGCTTTGGTGAGGAATCCTTTGTTGCTTGAAGCCAACTATGTTTGTGAATTAAAGATGAAAAATAACTGTTTATGGTCATTTTGTGAAAGAAAATCTTCAGGAAAGCAGGTGCTTTTTTTCCCAGGTGTGTTTTCAAAGCTCTTAGCAACTGCTTTAGATATCCCACAAATTGCAGGGGTATGGAATTGAATTAGCACTCTCCCAAACAGATGACGATAGTGCACAAACATGTAATACAAACACATCCGCCTTGAATCCGTAGAAATATTCACCTGCCAAAGTATGCAAATTTTGAACTTAATTACATAACAACCTCAACAAAATGGTAACACTTTATAATAAGTATACAGTAATAAAGTACTTACAACTCATTAACAAACTATTAGTTTATAGTTAATGTAGTCTACATTGTTAACATAATAGGCAATATACAAATAGTGAGTTCTTCATTCATTGTCACTGTAATTGACACAATTATCATTGTTTAATTATAGCTTGTATTAAAGGAATTATTAATGGGTTATAAGGAGTATAGTTCTCAGTTTAGATTAGCTCAAGGAAAATGGAAAAAAAAGTCCTTTAAACTAACCTTTATTAGACATAATTTGCATTCATATTCAGTGTTGCTTAAAATATTTACAAATACATTAAACACACACACACACATTTTTATATAGCCTATTAATATATGAACAATGTAGAGACTACAATATACAAACTATTTATTAACTATACAATAATAGTTTGGAAATTATTTGTAAGTACTTTATAACTGTATACTTATAAAGTGTTACCCAAAAATTGTTATGGATGAAAAACAGGTAGCCCATTGTTCACCCTCGTTACAGTCAGTTTTATGAAATCAGAATATTAACATTATGGGCCTCGTAGACAGATTCCATTCACACCAAGCGATTAGCCAATATACGGTAAGAACTGATAAACATAAGGGATCATGAACAGCCAGTCATTATCACACAATAAACCCATCAGGTTTTGATCAGGGTTTATTTTCCGATAATGAACCTTATCAATATCCTGCTGGTGTGATGGCAACTTGCAAAATTCAAACATTGCAACTATACTGTTGCAAATATAATGGTAAATAGCCACAAAATGTATATTCTTTTAATCAATACTTTTATTCAACAATGATGCATTAAATTGATGATCAAAAGGGACAGGAAAGTCATTTATAATGTTACAACAGGTTTCTATTGTATTAAGCGGAAAATATTAAGCAGCACAACTGTTTTTAACACTGATAATAATTAGAACTGTTTCTTGAGCATCAACTCATCATATTAGAATGATTTCTGAAGGATCATGTGACACTGAAGACTGTAGTAACGATGCTGAAAATTCAGCTTTGATAACAGGAATAAACTACTCTTTAACAAAATTGTTATTTAAATTTTATGTATTTGAGATCAACAGCTAATTTGATATCAAATATCTACTATCTTTAGCTCTATTTTAAATTATTTATCTTTGTGTCTCTTACTGGCAAAAGGAAAATGATTGGATGAATTGTGTTTAATGTAGCCATCAATTGCTGGTTAATATTCTTTTATCTCAAACTGTAGCACAGGTCAGAGTTTTGCAACCCAGGGGATGCATGAACTCGTAAAACAACTAGTAAAAACTTAACGTTTCATGTAAAAGATAATAATAACGTTTAATGCAATGCCTTTGGATAAAAGTGTTTGCCAAATGCATACATTTAAATGACACTATTACTCAGTAGCTGGTACTCTATAGTCAAGGCACATTTTCTGACATACCGTAGTTCAAATTTCAACTGAAATCTATTCATAAAAATAGTAGTAACAGGGCTTGATCTAAGGGCACGGCAATAAAAGTATTCCAGCAGCGACTGAAATCAAATGTAAATCACAAACCGAATGAGTAAGAGAGGTGTGTTGACGAAATATGGATTGGAGAATGTCACTCACTGCGAGGCATAACACGCAGTCATGATACGGCAATCATTTTCAAGTCCATGCTGGGCACTTAAATGGAAATGAAGTCATTCTGTATCTGTGACACACGTGGAAAGCGGGTCTGAGGCTGGATAGATTACATTAGTGAGATTAGGCCTCTTCATTTCAATCAAATCAAATCCTCTATTGCCCTTGATCTTAATAACTTTTCTCCCAAAAGACAAGTATGAGTGAAGATGTCATTTTATTTTGAGAAATAACTGCCATGTCCATTTACTCCTTTGTAAATTCCGTTGATGATTAGGTCCAGGTTGGCCATTTTTGCTCGACTCATTTCGTTCAGCTTAATAGATGCGGTCAAATAATTAGAAACACTTTGCACTTCCAAGATGGAAATTTAAGATTGGCCAGATAAATTAGTATAAACATTGCACCCCCCCCCCCCCCCCTGCATCTCATTAGGTTTGAATGCAAATGCAGTCTGAATGCTAATGAGTCTGTAATGTGACTGGATGCAAACTCCCTCCAGCAAACTACCCCCTCTATTTTTGATGGACATCAGGGGTCAATGAGGGCCCATGCCGTTCCTCATTCCTCATACTTTACAGTAATAACAGGATACTCTTTAGAAAACAGCTTCTTTTTCAACCGAGACTATTGTTATACATTTTAGCAGCTATTTTTACACAATGCGTACCTGATTGTGCATTTCGAAAGCCCTGCATACTAAAAAGGTGAAACAATTCGACGCCTTTCCCTCAAGCTGTGAATGAATCTTGAGGCTATTATTTGTCACCTGTTGGAAATAAAACGGCATGAGTATAACTCCAGACAAATAATATCCAGTGCTATTTCAAAACTACACGAAAAGCCTCAGAGACTGTGAGATCTCTTTCAGTATGGTCTTTATAACATCAGCCTGGGATCCTCAATGGCTTACAAAACTAATGGCTCGTTCTCAAGGTCCTATTTTTCAAAGCGCAGAACAGCATGAGGAGCTTCCCACTTGAGACTGTCCCTGACAATGTTACTAGGCCAAGATGTCCCACACCTGAGATGAGAGAGAACATGAGGTACATTTTAGCAAGGCTGTAAAACATCTTTTTATGCCTTGCTGCTTCTCCTGCAACTTTTTTAAACTTTTAAAGGTTATAGTGTATCAAGAATGAGTGGACATTTGATGGATGATTATTGAAGCACAATGTTTTTTTAAAGTACAGGAGACTCAGAGTAGATAACACAACACTGCCGTAAAACATTATGCCTTTTTCTCCAGGATGTGGCCTGTTTACTGAGAAGGATGCTTTCCTGAGAGTAATGGCCACATCCATCTCTGAGGAACAGGACTGTAATGCCTTATTCAAAGCAGGCTGTGACACTTTGTGAAGGCAGCTGCTCACTTTTTGGAGTAAAAACCAGCTTATGAGAGATGTAGTTCACTTTTTCCCTTATGGCATATACAGTGGGGTCCAAAAGTCTGAGACCACTAGTGAACAAAGTTCTGTTTTCTAATTTATTATTAGTAATAATAAAAAAAAATAATAAAAAAAAATCTAGAAATATTATTTAATCAATTTGTGCTTCAATGGAAGCAAAGAAAGTATTTGTACAAATGAGTTCAGATGTTAAAGGGGTCATATAATGCCATTTTTGTACAAGCTAATATGATTCTTTAGGGTCTAAATTAAAAGTTTTTATTAAATTAGTAAAAAAAAAAAATTGTGGAAACTGTGATGCATTTTTTTTCAGAATTCTCTAATGAATGAATCTTTTTTTACCATTATAAATGTCGGTCCACAGCACTTTACAATAACGTTTCATTTGTTAACATTACACATTAACATGAACTAAGAATGAACATAATTCTGCTGCAGCATTTATTATTCATAGCTAGTGTTAATTTCAGCATTTACTTATACATTTTAAGATCCAAATCTGTATGTAAACATCAGATAAAGCACTGTGAACTAAAATGAACATCTTTATTACTGTAACTAACGTAACATTATTAATTAACAAAAATGCATTAACTAATGCTAACAAATGAGACATTATTGTAAAGTGTTACCGAAATTTAAAAAATTTAAAAATGTCAGATTTTGGAAAAAAAAATCTTACTGATCCCAAACTTCTGAACGATGGTACATTTTAAATTTTTTAAAACGTTGAAACTTTTCCACCTTCACATGCACTAAGAATAATGCTGAATGCACATTGGTGATAGATTGTGTTGGATTATGAAGAGATATGAGTGATTTATGCTAGCATGACTACACAGGAGAAGACATACCAAAGACACGGACGCTTCCATGCTGGATATTAACCACAGGGAGCTTTGCTTCAGTTGTCTGGCCCAGTGTGTGTCATGCCTTTCACTTCTCTTCAAGGACTCAAGGGTGGGACATACATAGTAAATGTAATTGATTCTGCCAGAGTCCGCATCATACAACACATAATTAAAGTGCCCCTATTATGCTTTTGCATATTACCCTTCATGCAGTGTGTAATATCTGTTTGTGAAGGTAAAATATCTGCAAAGATTTAAAGATCAAAGTGCATGACAAATAAAGTTATTATCTCTTAAAAGAAAGAATCGATTCTGAACTGCCTGAAACGAGTCGTCAGTAATTATTCCAGCCTCACTTCATGTTACATATGTAACAATGTCACAAATGTGCATAATGCCAGCCCATGGTCTTCGTTGGCTGCCCGTGAATGACGTCTACTTTTACCACCACACTGTAGTTGTAGCTGAGGCCCGTTTGTGTTGTCGACATATCGAGAAGACGCTGTTTTCAGCGCTGTGAATCCACTTTGCATGCACTTCCAAGGACTCGGGCTGCAATTGATAAGGAAAAACTGACAAAATCGTTACTGTTCTT